CCCACAATCTATATAATCATTCTGTACTTAAAAAAAGAGAGAGAGAGACTTAAAAAAAAAAGAACTACTAATGGCAGTTATACGAAGGTGGGATTATTGGTAACTTTCTCATCTTTACACTTTTTTAAAATTTCCAGAATCAACATAAAAATATTAAGAAGTCACTGCTTGACTGATAGCACATCCATGTGTAGATGTCTAATCAAATAATGCTACATTTGTCAAGATTTTTTGCTCTGTCCTAAATCCCTAGAGATCACCCAAAATAATGCTCCAGGATTAGCCTGGGCAAACACTCATTATATAATGAGTACCTACCGGCGGTATCAATCTTGCTAATGATGATCTCAACCAAAGAAAAAGGTTCAGTAAAGTTTCCAATATTACAATATAACATGTAGTATTGATTACACTATTCTAAAGCCTTGTTCTCTTTATTTGAATTTTAAAACAAACTTGAAAATTTCATTGCATATAATTTCTAAAAATACACTTGATATATATTACTTAAAAGAACTTAGACAAACCTAAGACAATATGCATCAATAGCACTACAACAAAGATTATCCTACTGTTTTCTGAAAACTATCAAATGTTTCTCTGAAATATATATTATCTTGTTTAAGTTTGGTTTATGGTTCTAATTTACCTCTTAAATCCTATTTTAATGTATTGATTCTCATTTTAAAATCTATACTTGTAGGAGTTTCAGATTTGTCTGTTTCATCTTTTTGAGACAGGGTCTTTCTATGCAGTTCAGGCTGGCCTGGAACTCACTTTGTAGCCTAGGCTAGTCTTGAACTCACAGTGATCCTCTTGCTTCAGCATCCTGATTACTGGGATTACAAGCAGGTGCCACCAGGCCCAGGACCTATAGCAGTTTTAGCTGCATTTGCCCCTAAATATTATGCTTTTATGTCCACACTTCATTCAAAAATACTTTAAGGTTCCTTTTGAAATAATACCTAATTTTATTTTTCCAGCTGAACGTCTTCTTACTGGTATTCTATTTCAGGGAGTTTTTCCCTTAACTCCCTGAAATAAAGATCTTCACCAAAGATTTAAAGAGTATATTTTTAGACAAGCAAAAAGTGGGACACAATCACTCTAACTACATTGAAACCAATTCAAACCACATTAAAGTCTACCTTCTGGAGAATTAACTTTTCAGTCTGTAACAATGACTTCATTAAAACTTCATAAAAATCCTACAGCGTTTTCTGACACCCTAAAGTTAGCACTCTGTCTGTCTGTACCTATACAATCACAGCAACATTCAGCTTCAACTCATGTTACATCAGTGTGCCTTATTGCACAGCTAACTTCAAAACATGTACTCCTTTAGAAGCGAACAAATAAAGCAACCCTGGATAAAATCAGTATAAGTTCTCGATTTTACAATACCTGATTGATAAAGACTGCCACAAGTGCACACAGCACCTTCTCAGCAAGCTGCCTGTTTTGCTATTTTAATCTGAATTGAAAAATTAGCCTTGTCTTTCAGTGCTGCCTCGTAGTTTGAATTCATAAATACTCTCATTTGGATGTTAAGATTGAGCATTCTTACTCCTTTCCTATCCTTGATTCTCATAGAAGTGGAGACTGCTGTAGACATCGGGAGATCTGCTGTCTGCTCTCCACCTTCTCTCAGGGTTCTCAGACTAAGTCTTCAGTCTTACGGAATCCAGAGCTCGGCTTACTCGCCCATACAGGATTTAAATTTCCTCATGGAAGCCACCCGCAACTGCTCTCTGGATGACCTAACCACCACTCATCTCCTAAAAAGTGAGCCTAAGAAAAAGGCTGCTCACGTTAGCAGGTCAGAGAATAACTCAGACAGGAAGAAACAAAGAGCACACATAATGTAGAGTTTATTTTGTTTTAAGATTATATGTAAAGAAGAACTCAGGACCTGGCACTTGCCAGGAAAGCGTTTATTCCACTGAGGCATCCCCCCCGTCAAGTCAACAACTTTTGTCATTGCCAGTCTTGCGGAAAACCCACTACTACTCTAGACTACTGGACTATATTGGAATATTTTGCAGAATTCAGGCACCTACAATATTTAAATGACAATGGAATACCCTTCTCTGACAAAACTGAACAAAAAAGGGGGATACAAATGAACTACCATTTTGTATCTATATGTTCAAAATAGTTAAAATAGCTACACAGCTGCATTCTCATGGATCAATGAATAGAGAGATTTGCTCTAATAGTGTTTGAGGACAGGATGTCATGCCTGCATCTTGTACAATGAATAACCATTAAGACAACATGTAATGTATTAATTAGTGAAATCATGCTGGTAATCGTTTTTTGGGTTTTGTTTTGTTTTGTTTTGTTTTGTTTTTTTTAGTAATCTGTTTTGAAACTGTCTCATTGCTACTTGTTTCTCAATAAAATTTATTTTCTAAAAAAAATTAAATTTGTGTATTTAAGATTTGGGGAAGTACGGATTTCATTTAAGAGACACAACTGGGAGATGTACACTTTCAGTGCTTCAAGATATAGATAAAGCTGTATAAATTATCTTCATTTTGTTTTCCATTGTTTCATGCTTTAGAGTTATGACCCAGAATTTGTTTCCTGGAAAACTGTCCAGGCAGTTCTGGGTGCTGTAGGATCAGGCTGGTGGAAAGGAGGAAATGCTATCTGAGGCCATGACTTCTAAACTATGATTTTTTTCTAAAATTATATTTTAATGTTTGTCTATAATCACATTGACACTTCTGGAGTCAAACTCTGGGAAGTAATTACTAGATGTGTGTTAAATATTTCATCTCTTATATTATCAGTCTCGTGAGCTCATCACAGCATCCAAGCAGCCCTGGCAAAGTCACACCCTTTGTGCCTGCTACAAAGTGTTTGTTGTTGTCTTGTTTTTTTAAAAATAATTGAAAAAATATTTTAGAATATTTTTAACCTAAGACCTGTTATTTAAAAATGTGAATAAAGGTTGGCACTGTTCTGAAAGATACTTTGGAAATTAACCCCTACATTTCATCATGAGTTATTATCAGAAAAAGCAGTAATAGTTTATATACCTAAGCAGATATCATAATTACTGAGAAAAAGACTAACATGTCAATGAATATACACAAAGAATAGAAAACAGATATTCACATGCAGTTAAAATAGCCAACATTTATGAAAAAAAATTCAAGTTAAAATATGAAGGCAACAATTTTCATCTGGCAAATGGTTATAGATGTTCAATAAGTATTTATTTACTTAAGTAACATGTTTTGGCCATCAAACAGGAAAACAATTTCAGAAAACAATATAAATAGACAGAACTAACAAAATCTCCAAATAAAGTGTAGTAGCACTGGGTAATCATCAATTCAAACTATATGTAAGGAATATCTAGATTCTATATATTTATAGTTTATAGTTTTTGGATAAAACCTCTCAAATATCCAAATTGTATGTTAAAAATTTTAAATTGACAATGTTAATGTACATGGCAGGCCAGTTTTAAGAAGTAATCTATTAAAAAATTATTTTAAACTGTATTGCTTAGAAAACAAAATTTAGAACACAAGCAATGTCACTTTTGTATAGAATCAGTAGTAGCTTTACCTATTCCTATCTCCTGTGAGACAATTCCCCAAGTACTGAAGGTGTTATTGATCATACAGTGAATATTCAGATTTTTAAAATTTGCTACAGTAAAAGACACATTGCCATCCACACCCCTCCAAACACTTGCCCTTAGTTCAAACTGGCCTATCCCAACATTCTTGCGTCTTCCTGAAGCAGTCCTGGAAGCCCTCTCTCATGAATGTCTTTAGTTGTACCGCCATGGCTACCTCACTGTCATAATTCATTCTGTTTAGCTCCCACGATCATTTTGACTTTAAGGGACAACCGAAAGTTACATGGGACCACATCAGTGAGTAAGATGCGTAAGGATACACGGCAGTTTTTCTGCAAGACCGCCTTCATAGTAGATTCTATTCAGAGATAGCATTCACCATAATTTTTAATCACACATAGTAAAAAGCATTTCAATAAGAGGGCTTTCGGAACTCTTTCAGAAAGTAGCAGGAATAATGAAATAAATACATTCAAAGCCAAAGGGAGTATTTAGCAGAGAGTTAGTGACAGTGTGTCTTTTGCTAAATAATTTTGTTTTTTAAATTTAAACATTCACCGAATCTTTCAGTCACTCCTGGTATGCACAAATGAAGCTCAGAACAGCAAAGAAGCAGCTCTTCTGAATAAGATCAATGGACAGAAGGCTTTCTCCTTTCCCATCAGACTTAATTCCAAGGAACAGCAAAAAAAAAGTCTGAAAGGGAAAGAAAAGTGCTGATCCACTGTTGTCATATCATTGAGACTTCTTGATGTTTAAGTTTCATTCCCAAAATTAATTATTTTCTTCCTCTATAGTTTATCTATGTTGCCCAGAAACCTCTGACTTCCTGGAATTTTTATTAAGAATTCCACATTCTTGCCATGTTTTTCAGATACTGTGGCCTCTGCCAATAAATCCTAATAAATTTTCACTCCTTTTCTTTCAATAACATCCTAGAGAATATGATTCAGACTCAAATTAATCACCGATCATGTTAATGGCTCCTCGGAGTTTACTTCCGATACCCCTTATTATATTAAATCAAACTTGATAGTGTGCTAGATCATAGCTCAGCTGGGTTTTCATAAAAGCATTGGTATTTAACATGATTTATGCCTAGTTTTCTGTTAATATCTTTTGCTTATCATGCGCTTTATTTTAAAAACAGACATTCTTAGAAAATGACACTGCTTTAAAATCTGTCACACTTTAAAAATATTTTATAGGAAACATTTTACAGTAAAATGTATCACTTTATATTACATCACATAATAGCAAAGAGGAACAATTTAATGTACAAAGTATCAATATTTAGCTTTTAGTTTAAAAATATGTGTATGTATATACATTTTGCTTATTTAAAAATAAGTTGTGTGGCAAGATTATCAGGAAATTCAATGTATTGTATGTTTTTAAGCTTTGCAGCAAAGGGGCGGCTCTAGGAAAACCCTTTGATGCACCTGCGGACCATATAGCAGCCGTAGCAAGTTTCATTGAGACAAAGCTTGTCACCTGCTATCTACGGATGAGGAAACCTGACCTCGCCCTGAATCATGCACACCGGTAAAATGAAATAATGCTGATCAAATAAGTAATAGTACTAAGAAGTGCTACCCAGCCACGAGGAGGCTACTCTCTGAATTTGTCTGATCATCTCCCCTTTCATTTTAAATTGAAGATAAAGCAAAAAGAAATTGTATATTGTTTTATTTCTGTAAAACTAAAAAAATTATAGAGATGAACAGGAATCTTAAAACCTAAGAGGGAAAAACAGGAACATAAGCAACATTTATAAATAGTATTCAAGTTGTGGGGAAAATAAAAGGGTAAGCAACTGGAGCAGGAAATTGCTGTGGCAGGAGAGCAGCAGGAAGTGAAGTCAATAAGGGAGCAGGTACGGAGGGCTAGGAAGGGCTTCCAAAATTGCAGAGGAGACACAGAGGGGTAGCAGGGGACTCTTACCACTTGAGGTAAGACTTGGAAGCTACAGCTTATCAAGTGATAGCATACCTGATTCAAAGGCTAGGATGAGTCAAAGCATAGCATCCGTTGGGCAGCTTCCCAGAGGCATGAAATAGCTTTGTCTATATTCTTAAACATTTCTTTTCCATATATTAACCTTGTTTAGGATTCTATATCATTACATTACTATGTGGGGTATTCTTAGAATTCCCAGGGTTGCCTGTCCTCTTTTTTCTTCCATAATAATGTACCTGTCTTGTGTCCTTTATCTAAATGGTCTTGTTCCCATCAGTAGCAATAAGTTTGACTCCGCAGTAAAGGTAAAATGATTATGCTGTGCTTTTCCAATAATGCTTTCCTTGAAATTATACTTTTATTCTTCCCAATCTGACTTAAAGCAATTTACCTAGAACTCTTGTCCATTTTTCATCTCATATCCTTATATTTCCTTTGGATAAAAGTAGCAAAACTAATATTGATATGAGACCATAATACCTGGTTTATGAATAGTCTCTGGGAAATATAATAAATAGTTATAGTAAGACCCATTACTGAGTGATTTGCTGACATAGTAAAAGCCATTTATAACATGGGCTAGGATGTTACTGTGCTGCCCAGGATTTTCATGGCCCTACCAGCAGGCTTGACTTGACATAAGGAACATACAGGCAACAAAACCTCTTTGAAATTCATAGGATAACTTAAAAGAAATTCATGTGGCTAAGCAAACTACTGAATCCGAAAGCACATTCCCTTTGAAACCAAAAGAAGTTTGCCTTCTATCCATCCAGGGGCATTTTATGCAACCATAGTTTCTGAACCAATGCCAGAATATACAGTCTGTCAAAGAATTTTGTTCCATTTGTATTTAAAAGAATGAGAGTTAGAAAGGAGCATTCTTTTAAGTATGTCAAAATATTCTAATACTACTTGGGTGACTTAGGAGCATAATAAGAAAAATATTTAGATCAGACCCCAAAAAATCTACAGAAATGCATTAACAATAATAAATTGAGAAATACTAGAAAAAATTATAGGTCACCTTTGTTGTCACTTTCATCGCACATCAGAGGGCCACCAACCTGGCCTCTTTGTAAGAAAAATGTCTTCTGCATACCAGACTTGTTTAATGGTTTTTCTGAATCACACGTAATGCCGTATTTAAAGTCTGGCCATTAGAGCATTCTTACCAAGATGGCACCAAAGGCAAAGAAGCAAGCCCCTGCCCTTCCCAGAGCTGAGGCCAGAGCAAAAGCTTTGAAGGCCAAGAAGGTTGTGCTGAAAGGCATCCACAGCCACAGAAAGAAGATAGAAACGTCACCCACCTTCTGCCGTCCCAAGATATTGTGGCTCTGGAAGCAGCCCAAATATCCTCAGGAGAGAGCCCCCAGGAGAAAGGAGCTTGACCACTATGCCATCATCAAGTTCCCCCAGACAGGAAGTCAGCCATGAAAAAGATGGAGGGCAACAACACACTTGTGTTCATTGTGGATGTCAAGGTCAATAAGCACCAAATCAAACAAGCTGTAAAGAAACTGTATGGCATCAATGTTGTCAAGGTCAATACCCTAATCAGGCCTCATGGATTTTTTTTTTTTTTTTTTTTTTTGGTAGAACCAGAGATTGAACTCAGGCCTTTGCACTTGCCAGGCAAGTGTTTATTCTACTGAGCCATCTCCCTGGCTCCCTAGGCCTGATGGAGAGAAGAAGGCATATGTTCAACTGACACCAGATTATGATGCATTGGATGCTGCCAACAAAATTGGGATCATCTAAACTGAGTCCACTGGCTGATTCTAAATGCATACTTTTTTTTCTGTAAAGGAAGGAAGGAAGGAAGGAAGGAAGGAAGGAAGGAAGGAAGGAAGGAAGGAAGGAAGG